AAATTCAGAGTGAAGGCTATGTTCATGTCCTTAGATCAACTTGCCCTTTTTGAAACATAAAAAGAAAGAAACATCAGCCTTAAAACCTGTAGCGTTGGTCTTGCATACAGTTCAGGTTTTTGGTTGTTAGTATTGTTGGTAGATTTTGACAATGATATCACTTTATTATTGTCTCAAACAATGTAATCTTCCTCTGCCTTTTAAATTTGCAACAGTTTAGAGTCTCATGAACTACAGACATAATTTTTCAAAAACCTAGACACCTCTTGTTCGTCTTTCTGCCAGCATCGTCCTTCCAGGCTCCATATGTAGGTATGGGCTTAACAACTGTCTGTAGAATTGTAACTTTACCTTGGTGATGGCACTCCTCTTCAGCATCGATCCCCAACAACCCCAAACACCTTCTGCAACTTTACAGCCTGTGAAGACAGGTCTGTAAAGCAATGTCAAGTCTTAAACGAGGTGCTTAAAGCCAGCTGGCTGGCAATACTGAGCTTGTGAAGGTTGTACCCACTGAAGCACTCCACACAATAAACAAGCAAATGTCACTCAGCAGGTATGATCCTGCACAGATCAGAGGTGGGATATGGAGTGAGCCATGCAACCCGAACACCGCTGCAATTTTTACTGATCTCAGATATTCCCAGAGCATGAAGTGTGCTAAGCTCTGCTGGGGGAATTTGATTCTTGGGTTGAAAGAGGTTTTGTTCATTTTCTTCCCTCCAGGAGAAATAATTGCCAGACAGAAAGTGATGGTTTAGATGGAATATTACAGCTTTATTTTTTTTTCTCATTTATAGGATTTTAATTTTCTTTTGAAGCACAGGAAGAATATGTAAATACATTGTGACTACTTATAAAGAAAGGAGCCCGGTGGTGACAGATTCCTCAGAATTTCACTGTTCATAGTCCTTACCTGGATGAAGTGACACCCAAGGGCAGACAGCGAGGCTGTGTTCTCATGTCTTGCAATGCTGGCTGGGGAGAGGGAAGTGTGAGAACGGGAATTTCTGGACACATCTGTCCCCGCTGTCGTGTGATCTAAATTTGGGAATTGGCACAAAGTGTTACTGAATTTGATAGCATCACTGTTTGGAGTAGGCATGGAAGAATCCCCCAGACAGCTCACAGATGCTGGCACTGAGGGCCTGTATTGTTAAATTCACAGCTTGAGAGGGGAGCGGGAAACGTTTCCATTTAGGTGGGGTGCTCAAGGTCCCATCATGTTGGCATCCTTTTCTCTGAGGCAGTTCTCCAGCAGGCCCCATGTGTGTGCCTAATCCCCTTCTTGTCACTGATGGGAGTCACCTGGTTCTTCATCCAGGACTTGCTTAGGGTCAAGTGAGAAGTGGCTTTGAAGAGCAGCTCTTGCAACACTATTACTGGGTCTTGGTCACAAACCAACAGTAAGATGAATGGGAAGATACTACACCATAATTTAGGTGAGGGCAGCTTTGCCAAGGGAATTTGACCACAGGCACCAAGGGGGTCTTTGACCCAATACTTATAGCACTTTCTGAAATCCATGAGGAGGAACAGATCACAGAATCACAGAGTGGCTTCAGTTGGAAGTGACCTCAAGGATCATGAATCTCCAACCAGGGGCCATCATCCTCCACATTTAGTACCAGACCAGGCTGCCCAGGGCCCCATCCAACCTGGCCTTGAACACCTCCAGGGACGGGGCATCCACAGCCTCTCTGGGCAGCTGTTCCAGCACCTCACCACTCTTTCTGTAAAGAACTTTCCCCTGACATCTGACCTGAATCTTCCCTCCTTCAACTCCACACCACTTCCCCTTGTCCTGCTGTCACTCACCCTTTCAAAGAGTTGACTCCCCTCTTGTTTGTAGGCTCCCTTTAGGTACTGAAAGGCTGCAATGAGGTCACCCCACAGCCTTCTTTTCTCCAGGCTGAACAAGCCCAGCTTCCTCAGCCTGTCTTCAGAGGGGAGGTGCTCCAGTCCCCTGATCATCTTTGATGTTCTCCTCGGGACCCTCTCCAACAGTTCCCTGTCTTTCTTGTACTGGGGACTCCAGACCTGGACACAGTACTGCAGATGGGGCCTCGCAACGGCAGAGTAGAGGGGGACAATCACCTCCCTGTCCCTGCTGGCCACCCCTCTTCTGATGGAGCCCAGGATCCCATTTGCTTTCCAAGCTGCAAGAGCACACTGCTGGCTCATGTTAAGTTTTTCATCCATCAGGACCCCCAGGTCTTTCTCTGCAGGGCTGCTCTCAAGGACCGCTCCTTCCAATCTGTATGGATGCCAGGGATTCCTGGTGCCCAAGTGCAAAACTCTGCACTTTGCTGTGTTGAACCTCATCAGGTTCACCCGGGCCCACCTTTCTAGCCTGTTGAGGTCCCTCTGAATGGCATCCCTTCCTTCCACCGTATCGATCGCACCACTCAGCTTGGTGTCATCAGCAAACTTGCTGAGCGTGCACTCAATTCCATCATCGATGTCATTGATAAAGATGTTAAAGAGCACCAGCCCCAAGACAGACCCCTGAGGGACACCATTTGTTACCAGCCTCCACCTGGACATAGAAACATTAATCACCACCCTCTGTCTGCGGCCTTTCAACCAATTTCTTATCATCAGGTGGTCCAACTCAACCTTCATCTGTTGAAGACAGTTTTCCTTTTATATTTACCAAAGGAGGTAGAACAGATCCTCCTTACAAAGATACAGGTCCAGGAGCAGGTGTCCCCACACCTTCTCAGAGGGGGAATTAAACACGAGAGAGAAAGGAAGCTTCTTAAGAGTACATTTTACTCAGCCAGTCCTGTCTCTAGTCCTCTGGCTTCCTCTTGCCACATTACTACCATCTCCAGTGCTAAATCCCTTATTTCTCCTCTTTTTCCCTCTCCAGCTGTAAAGGACCAACAAGAATCTGGTTAACCCTTCCATCCCCATACGGGCAGGATGTGACACCAGCATTCACAAGTTGATCGTTGCTTTTTTCTGCCCCTCATATTTCTCTGTCTCCAGAAGTATTTACACTAAAATAATTGAAGTCTCTGGGGTTTTTAGGGGGCTGCATTTCAAGGTTTATTACAGAAGAGATTTGGGATAGCATTTGACTTCCAATGTTCTGGTGTGCTGGTGATTAGGTAAAGCTGGTGTAGATGCAGAAGTTGTGATGGAGTGGGGGAAAACAGCCTGGAACCTGAGTTAAGACAGCCCTCTGAGGTCACATCTGGAAGCTGGCAGCAGTTCTGGATGGGCTCAGGAATGGCACCATTACCTACTTGTTGTCTTCTGCATGTAAAGCTTTTTTGTGTGCTCACGGTCTCTTCTGGGCTTCTCTATGCATGGAGCAGTTTATGGAGCGCAAAGACTCCATAACACAGATTAGTTGTCCCCCATCTTGGATGTGTGAAGCCCCTCACAATATTTCTGCTGGGGTAAGCTTTTGAGCAAATGATGTAGGCTGGGAAAGACCAGGGGATATGCTGACCTCAGTCTGGGAAGTGGCCATCCCACTGTGAGGTGGATGCTTCCTTGAGTTTGCCACCAGGTCCAGTGCTGGAGAACCCTCTCTGGCTCTTTTCTTTCCCTAGTATGCATACAGTTGCTGCATGCTGAAGTGCCAGCCAGAGCCCTGACATGTCTCTTATAGTATTAAATAGAATCCAGACTTGAGCAGCCTTAATGCTTTTGAGAGGTGAGCACACCAGCAGCAGTGGGAATGGATCTTTATGCTGACCAGTAGGCTCTGAATTCCATGGCAGTTTTTGCAAGGACTTCTCAATGTGATTGCATATGCTCTCAGCTATGTGTCCTGCAGCAAAATGTTCTGCTAGCATGGCTGAATCGGGACTCAGGAGTCCCTTGATACTGGACCAAGCATGGAGGTTTGATTTATAGCTTGGGTACTGGACTATCACATTGGCACAGCAGGAAATATCTGTTCCCAAAGGGGGAACACGTGCTGGTGTAGCATGTGATAAAGCCTTCCTGGTTTGCATGTTTTGTGGAGCAGTGTTAGCCATGACAGCAAGGCCAGTCATAATTTGATGCATGCTAATTGTTGTCATATGGAGGTGGCTGTGGTGTGGGCAAGGCATGCAGGCACACCAGGCTTCATGCATGGGGCTTCTCTCTCCCAGGCTAAATTGCTTTGGGCAGCATTTTGTGAAGACTGGAAAACTGAGACAAAAAGTAGATGTTACTGCAGTTGGGAGACAGAATTAATCACAGGGAGAAGTGGATTCACAATTGCTCTGAAATGTTCTAACCTGCCTTAAAATGCCTTCAGCTAAAGCTATTGAACTTCACTATAAACTCTTTGTGGAGTCTTCTCCTTTCTGAGAGTTTGTCAGGTTGTCCCCATTCATTCTGTGCTAAAAAATATTTAGGATAAGTTCTTGTTTTCAATCACAAATGTGCTAGTTGTCAGACTATTTCAGTACAACCCAAAAACATAGCGCTAAAATGCGATGCCGTGGTGTTTTTTTCATCTATCTGAACTGCAACACAGACACTGGAAGGTCTGTGCGGCTATTTCTCCCAGAAGTTCAAGAGTTCCTGTGTTTGTTGTTTTTTTTTAAATATATGAAGTCTTTTGTTGGGTTCTTTTTGCAGAGTCGTATGATCGTTCACTTTATCTGTTGGGGCAAACTGACACGTTTTATTCCTACCAAGAAATACTTATTCACTTTCAGAGAAAGCGTTTGGGAAGAAGTCAGCTGGCATCCACGTCTCGCAACTTTATCTAGAAGATAAACAACCCACAGATGGGGAGGGTTGCACGTGAAGGATGTACTCTATACATAATGTGCCATTAAAACTTCATGAAGAGGTGTCCCAGAAAAATATTACAAAGCACTAGGGTTAGTAATAGATTCTTAGTTTTAGCAGTCTGGTCATTTTCAGGAAGGAGTAATCAGCTTAACTGCAGAATTCATGCATTTAATGTTCTAGGAGAAAAAGGACAGTCTGAATTGTCTGGGTTTTTTTTGTGTTATTGTTGTTTTTTTTTTTTTTCCCCGCAGTAATTAATGAAAGGCAAAAGCAGCAACTGGAATCAGCAAGCTACTCCTCCCGCTATGCTCTGGGACTTTTTTATGAAGTCGGTGCACGGATTGATGTCCCCTGGGCTGCAAAGTACATCACCGATAATCCCTGCATACGCTTCATCTCCATCGATAATAAGAAACGCAATGTAGGTCAGTGCTCCCATTATTTCCCTTAAACACAGTGACAATAGAGGGTGTAGATCATGAAAAATGCTGTTTAATTGAGTGTTGATATTCTGAACAGAGCAAGTATTTAACTCTAAGCCATGGTAGATAGCATTTAATGTCACATTTAGCCTGTAATAAAATACACAATGAAAGCGGGAAGGTCCTCAGAAAATCACCACCCAACACATGGTTTACATTACTGCATTTATGAAACCAGTGTCAGGGGATTTGAAACATCAAAATGTTGCTATTCCAAGAAAGTGTTTGAGTTCCTTTGTTTAAACATTGATTCATAACCATGCCAATTTATCTCCCGTCATCCCTTACTGTTCAACTCCTGTTCTTTCCACTAACTACACTTGGAAGTAGTAACAAGTTATATAATTGAGGCTGCCTAGTCTATTTCAGAGTTCGCTAGTTTGCTTTCATAATCATGGAAAAATCCTTCAAATGGCTGCATGTTGTACAGCTGCTCAGTAAAGCGTGGAGAATATCCCACAAGGTAGACACTTCTCGTCTATTTCTGGAAGATGGCAATGAAATAGCTATATATTTTATTTATTAAACATATTACATATACCAAGAAGTCTGGGAAGTATATTGGCATAGAGTATCTCAAGAATAACTGCTAGCAGTTGAGCTTGATCAAGCAAGTTGGGAACTGAAAATGCTTCCCAACTCTATTGTTTGCTCACATTGAAATGATGACTGAGTTTAGCCATGTTGGTGAAGGGGGAGTGAAAATCTGCACACCTTTAGGGTGCCATAATAAGCATGGTGATACACTGCTACAGAGTAAGGAAGGATTCTCATCATATAAAAATTCAAGAGGTAGTTATTACATCTCCTGACATTCATTGTGCCAAAACATGTTCAGATTTAGAGGTAAGAGACTCCTGTACACAGTCTCTTGTTCAGGCGGGATTCATTGTTTCCTGACAGCAGTCCATAAATACCAGCAGTGTTACTCACACTGGGCACTGCGAACCTTGCCCTTACATCAAACCACCCTCACCAGTTTATGCTGAGAGCAAAGTTATTGCAGAGATGAACAAACTCACTGCTGTGCAAGCCCAATTTTATTATTTGTGCAAATAATTTAGTGTAGTTGTATGAATGGGCTAAATTATTAAAATAAAAAAAAAAGGCTGACAAATGATGTGCTGATGTGCTTCTTCCTGCAAGTACATAATAGCAAGTACATAAGAAAGAGTATAAGAGAAAACAGACACAGAGTGATTTTCTTCTTCTGTCACTGTCTTCTTGTTGCTGACAAAGTGCAGCTAGGTGTTTTCCTGCATGCAAGATAACATCTTCTCTGCTCTGGTGGTTAATAGCACCTACTGCTGTTGTTCTTCCAGCCACCTGATTCTGGTGGAGCAGAAGACACAGCCCAGGTGAGGAACTCACCCATCCTTTCTTTGTCTGATCACTCATGTGGATTCAAAGCACCAACAATGAGAATAATGAGTATGTAACAAAAAGCAAGTTATCAAATCAGCAGTTACTGTGTCTGGTAGTTCCAAAGGAAATTCATCCAAATAGCAAGCAAAGTATTTGTTGGGGCATATTGTTAACAGCTAACTACTAGAACATCTGTGTTGACACATACCTTTCTCATTGAGATTTCCTATCGTGAGAGAGATCTGTTTAGACAAGTAAACAGATTTTTTTTCAGAACTGAAGATGATTTCTGTCCCATAAGGCCCTCCTTGTGATATATAAACAGTAAACCATATGCCTTAGCTGTACTGTTTTTCTTGGTGAACTTGCATTTTGCAGATTTGAGCTTAGGTCCAGGAAAATTAGTACTAAGGTGTGTAATCAACAAGTATACAGATGTTGAGTTGACAAGTATACAGAGAACCTAGACTGGTCTTTAGAGAGCATATAGCTGAAAATATTATCATGTTGGAAAGGGATAATCAGAAATGAATGGAAAGCTTATATGTGTCCTGGGCTCACAGGAAAAATTCCAAAGAGAGATCCTCCCTCAGTGTCAGTCAGCCCTTAAATGGGGTCTGGGAGAGGTGCAGCCAGGCTTCAGCCCTTCTGGTCACACAGCTGAATTGCCTTCACCTGTGCTCCCATGGCTGACTCAGTGCTTGCCTCAGGTGGTCAATCAGAGGTTCAGGCCATGATTCAACAGTTCCCATACATAGGGTGAGAGAGCAGTGTGCATTAGTTGAAGCAATATTTCTGACTGAGCATTCCAGTTGTATACAGAATGGGATGGTATACCTGCGTCCTGCTCACAATTTTAAACCAAGGTGGAGTAATGTAACAAAAGGGAAAACAAGAATGGTCACCAAGTGGTTCAGTTTTCTTCCAACAGACACAGCTCTGCTAACGATGGAAACTCAGACACACTCTCACATTATTAGACAACTTGGGCAAAGGGCACTGAAGATGAAACTTATTTATATATTTATTCTGCATCCAGAACACCTGAGTATAAAGGTCCCATGTGTTTTAGTGCATAGAAGTATTTTGCATCAATTTTTTACTCTTCGTGCTTCTGACTGACCTCCACAACATTTCAGTAAGGGAAATAGGAACAGCTTTGTTCACGCATTGGTTTTTTTGGGGGTGCCAATCTTTTAGCACTATGTTCCACTCATTCATCTTTAGTCCATTCTTCAACCTTGATTGATCTTGATTCATCTGAGGAAGATGATGGCAACGATGAAAGTGTTGATGATCAGAGAGAGAAAGCAGAAATGCTCAGGCTAAAATTTATGTTAGTGTTCAGTTCCCTGGGTGAAGCAGCTGAAACCTATCAGGACAGTGATCCTTTCCAGAGAGCCAGCATATTAATGCCTGAATGTTCCCTATTTCCACCTCACCTCCTCTAGGCCATATACACTCTCCTATATACTCTCTATGTAGTGGCTTGTAGTTCTTAAGTGCCTGCCTGCATCTCTCCTTCATTACTTCAGTCTTAAGAGGGAAATTTGCTTTTTTGCCCATCAGATGTGGCTGCAGTGCTTATTGGGTGTATGTTCTCAGTATTGTTGTAATTACACAACAGGATCAGTTTGTTAGCACGAATTCGAAATGGCAGAATGGAGAGGCAGGTCTGTCTGTCATTCTCCAGGAATATCAGCCTTTGTTCCTAGGGCAGCATGCTGCTGTGAGGACAGCTTTCCCATATGCAGTGTTGCAATGAGGTACATCTCCATCTATAGAGGTAATATGCTCAAAAGTTACATAAGGAAGAGCCTACAAAAATGTATGTTGAATTCCCTGCTCACTATGTATGAATATTAAATATTTGTCTGATTGGCTGCCTTAAACACTCCATCAATATTTATAACTGGTCAGGGGGGGACAGTGGGAATTCTTCGGTATTTCAAGCCTCATTTCTGAAATACTGCAGTCTTTGCAGTTCTTTGTATTACAGAGGACTAAAGATAGATGACACACAAAAATCGAAGCAGTACTCTTCTTTTACGTGAGGATTGTGAGGTTATATAATTTAGAGGGAAGATTTATTTTGCAGGTTTTCGAGATCAGTGTAATTTGAGTATCTTTTTTTAATTTTGAAATAATTTTTGAAAGTGAATCCTCCCGTGCTTGTTTTCTAGTATTGCTGAAGTTATTCGCTATTCTTTTATATATATATATGTATTTTTTTTCCCTAGTTTTATGGGGCTCTCTGCACTGTCCAGCAGTATTTCCGTGCACTTTCCTCTCAGCCCAGCTTTTAGAGTTTGTTTGACATGGCAATGATAGAACCCTTTTCCTTCCTCTCATGTTATCCAGAATCAGAATGGGTTTTGGATAGCAAAACACAACTCCCAGTTCAGAGTAAAAATTCCTTAGGGGTAGGGAGCAACCAAGTCTTATTTTTTTTCATTGGCATCTGTTCTGGCTCCAGGTTTTGCATCACTGGACAGGAACATGAGAGAAATTCTTGACACGATTCCTATAGGAGCCTATCAACCCATCACACTCCCAGAATACTCTGGATATCGTACTGACCATTTGCCAAATGAATACTACAGGTCTCAGGCACTGATGGAGTTCTCTCTGCTAAAGAAACGTTCAGCTTTTGGCCTCTGTGGATTCCAGGGATCAAGCTAATTGCACATTTAAATCTCTACAATTTTTTTTTTTTTTGGTTCAGGGACTCTGAACCCTGACTTTGGCACAGATTCACCAACTGTACAGTACAAAAGCAGCTTTTGCATTTTGCAAGAGAGAAGATTTTGATGGGCAGACAATTCACACTGGGTTTTTACTGAGAAGTGGTGTGCTGTACTTTTATTGGGGTGTTTATGGGTTTTTTGGTTCTGCAAACACTTAAACTGTCTATTCCTTTCCTTCCCTAAGACTAGTGGTAAGGAGGATGTGGCCACAATGGGAGCAGAGTTTACACCTGTGCTTACCATGGTGAATTGGGTACTCTAGGCTTACCAGGGCAGAACAAGGTCTCTGTGGGAGGACTTGGCAACATGGGCTGTTCATATTGCCACTATGCTGCTGTAAAGAATGAGTGCATGGAATGGTCATAAGTCTTTTTATTATCGTAATAGTGCAGCCATGCTTCTAGCCCTAGCAGCTTTGCTTCACCCAGGACACTGTACTTTTCCATCTTATAATCTGCATTAAATGTGTTATCCAAATGTAGAAGCCACCTTTCTGACACCAGATGTTCCTGAGCCACAAGCCAAAGTGCTGGCTCTGTTTTTTCTGCTCTTTTTCAGAGTGTTTTTTATTAGCTCCGTCATTTTTTCTGGACAGTTATAGTCCTAGCAGGCTTAATACTGCATACGTTTTCTCAAGTCCTTTCACTTTGAACTTCTATAAATAGTTTGGCTCTGTCTTCACTGTAGCCCTTTAGGATATGGAAGATGCACTTAGATCTTCACTTTTCAATTCCAAACTTCTATTTTTCATCCCTTTTCTCTTCCCATTTTCCCTTTCCTTGGATTTGGTTTCAGACTTTCAAAGAAGGGCTAGTCAGGCTGATAGTGCAGCTGGAGTTTGATCATAGAATCACAGAGTCATTTAAGTTAGAAAAGATCTCTAAGGCCCAGCTGTTAATCCAGCATTGCCAAGCCTACCACTAAACCATGTCTCTAATCTCCACATCTATGTGTCTTTTAAATACCCGTGGGGTTGGTGACTTGACTGCTTCCTTGAAAAGTCTGTTCCAGTGCTTCACAACCCTTGTAGAGAAGAAATTTTTCCTGATATCCAACTTAAGCCTTCCCCGGCACTACTTGAGGCAATTTCTTCTTGTCCTATCACTTGTTACTTGGGTGTAGAGACCCTAATATCTTTAACTTGTCTGGGAGGGAGTAGTGGAGCTTCTTACTTCGAAAAAAAGAAACAAATTGTTCACGTCCTTCCTACCGCTCCATTCAGCCCTTCAAGCTGCTCAGAATAACTCAGGTAGGTAGTGATCATGGCCAAGACATGGTGGTGGCAAAGATGTCTCTGGGAGGAAGGTTTTGTTAAAGCCTGGCTCTGCCCATCCAGTGATCCTCATGAAATAGCAACTCCAGCATCTTCAAGGTCCACAAGGTGGGCATGTAGCCCCTGCTGTGACAACATCACTGCCACAGATTCCCTTATGTTTACATGGATGCATACTGAGTCTTGAAAGTCCTCATATTCTTCACTTTTCATGTGCTGGTGTTGATTCTGTTTGATGCAAAAGAAATTCACTCTAAAATGAAGAAAACGCTGAAACAAAGAAAACCTACATTTTTAGGCCTGCATCTTCTATATGCCACCAAGGAGAGGTTGAACTTAGGGCATGAGTCAAGATGCCAGCACTCCGGATTGGGGCAGGCATGACATCAGTGCAGCTTTGGTGTAGCACAGGCTGGAAGGACTAAAGCACCAGGCAGAAGTGTGCTGCTCCCAAGTTTTCATGGGATCCCTCAGTGACTGTGGATGGAGGGGGTACTCTGCCAGCACTGGCAGAGTGGCTGCTGGCTAATGATGTATGTATAAAAGCTGCAGCCAACTCTGCTGTCTCATCCAAGCTCTGATCTACCCCTTCCACCACATCAACTGATTGGATTAATTGCTGTGCAGCTGGGATGAGAGGAGGGAGAACTGGGAGCACATGAAAGCTTTTTGCTGCCTCCATTTGCCTTCACATCATTACCCACACTTTACCAAGCATTCCCTGGCTTGCTGCATCTCCCATGATGCTTTGTCATCTACCATCACGGCCATAGAGAGTTCGCATCTCACCACAAATAAAGGAAATGAAAATCTCATGAGAAGCCCTGCCAAGTTTTTAGTTTTTAAACTAACCATTACAGCCTGATCTAAACACACTGGGAAGAAAATACCAGGTTTGCTCCTGCAGCAGCTGAACAGTCATTCATACCTGGTGCAAGAGCTCTAAGGTATTGAGGCTGAGATACCCCCATTGCTTTCAGGGAAAAATCTATTTTAAACTCCTCTGTTAGCCAATATTTTTGTAGGAAAAAAAAAAAAAAAAAAGACTTGAGGCTAAATTTGATCCCTGCAGTCTGCGTATTTCAATACTGGAAGGCTGTGACTCAGTGGTCTCTGGAAGCTCTCCAAGCTATGAGTAGCTCTAAGAAGGAATTAAAAACTCGAACTGCCTGTTCTCCTGAAACTTGCTTTGTACATGCTATGGAAGAGATGACAGATCTGGAAGAAGCAGGCCCTGTCCAAGAATCATTGGCTACAACAAGTCACAGCAAGCATTGAGTATTTATGGTAATAGAATGCTTAGTTGTTAATGAGCCTTTTTACCAAGTTTATGTGGAAGAATTTGCCAAATCACACGTACCAAAAAAAAAAAAAAAAAAAAAAAATCCGCTTCCCTACTTGGTTATCTATACCTGGCAATACGTACAGACAACAGATTTGGAATACCTGTTTTCCACCTCAAAGTGGGAAGGACAGACTGCGTGGCGTTCCCATGAGTTTTGCAGACATTTGGAAAACCTGATGTGAACGTAGGTAATGGCCTGTGCTAGTCTGTGAAACCAGCGTAGGGATGGGAAACGTCAGGAAGGTGATACTGAAGGTGACCTTCAGGCAGCCAGTTCATCGGGGCTCAGGGAAGAAGAAAGCCTCTTTGGTTGAGTCTGTGCTTTTAGGTCTTGTTTCATTCAACAGTCTTAACACCAGATCTGCCTTACCTCCATCCCATATCCACGCTGGTTGTAGATCATGGACTTTTTTTCCACCCACATTTAGTAGAAGTTGACTGAGCCACTTAAGAAAGAGACTGAGAGAAAGGATCCTCCAAGTTGAAGTGAAAACCATCATTTCATGTTTTCTGTGAGTGCTTATACTAGGCCCTGATGTGTCCTAGTTGTGTAATCTGAAGAGATCAGCAAATAAGCAGAAAGTTTGTCAGGAAATGAAGTTTAGGTTGCTTCTGAAGGGTGGAATGTGTTGGCTTCTCAAAGGAGGAGACCTGTGTATCCTCAGTGACAGTGAAGATGTAAAGATTTCTATAAGGCTGGTTTCTATGGTTGGAAAGCATTCAGCTCCCTCTTTCTGCATGGATTATCTGGTCAGAAAATGCTCATTTACTGCAACTGAAATATTTTTCTAGGAATTTGCTAGTTCAAACAAAGGTTTAGCCTGAAAAGACTTTCTGCTTCTAAAGGAGGGAGTTTTAGTTAATGGAGCAAGAGGGAATCACTTAATTTAACTGGTGAATTCAGGCTGAAATATAGCAGAATCCAGGTCCTATCCTTTCTCCAGCAAGTACATCCAGTTCATTTAAAGTGCAACAGCCCCACTAGGAAGAAACTCATACAAGGATTTGCTGGGACTTCGTAGTGCCTGGGCACAGGGAAATCACTCATAAAATCCAGTATTCTAGGAAAATGCTCTCATTGGCTGTCCTGGTTCCTGTGCACTTCTGTTATATTTATTGGTAGAAAGATAAAGTATCTTAGTTTTGCCTCAGAGCAGAGCCATGCAATTATGTAATCACTTGGAGACACCTGGCAACACCAGGGCTGTAGGACCAGCACTACAACACTCCAGGCTCCTTGGGGCCATGTCCAGGAAAAACAGAGCTGTCCCCAAGAGTGGAGACACTCCACCACCAGCGGCATCTTACTTGCACAGGGACAGTATTTTCCAAGTGGCAGCTAGTGCTCATTTCCTCCTGTCTGGCTCCATCTTAGCAGGTTTTTAAACGTCAGGGTTAGTTTTCAATGGAGAAATTATTTTTCTTTGATTTTTGCTCATTTGCACACAGTTGAGCAAAGCCACAGCATAACACAGTAGAAAGCGCAACAATGACAGCAGAGTAGCAAGGTTTCAGGCTGCAGCAAGCATTTGCTCAAATGCAACAGCCATGGACACAGAAATAAAGGATGGAAGCCGCTTACCTCTGGGAGGTCTACAGGTGGGAAGGGATCTCCAGAGTGATACCTTTGTATCCACTGCCAACTCTTCAGTGAGGTCTTGGAGGGTATGGATCCTCACTCCATCCCTTCCAGTCACTCAGGTCCATTGCATGTACCTGAGCTCGCCTGGGTTGGCCCTGCCTTCCCACCAGGTGCTCAATCACTGCTTCGGGCTGTGACTTAGCATTTCCACTACACACAGATTGTACTGAAGCTTAACACTCTCCAAAACCTGTATGTAGACAACCCCTTGTTGATGTCCTGGAAGTTGCTAGAGCAGCAAAACTCGAGTTCACTTGTGTAGATCAAGATAATGATTTATCAAGCCAACCTGCCCTGGCTTCTGTTTCCCTTCTCCTCCACAAAAGTAAAGTATTGGTTTTATTCTAGTGTCAATTATGTAGATAGTATTGCATGGCCAATATGCAACCAATTATAGAGTAAGCAGATGTTTTTCACAGTAACTCTGCAAACACTCTTCTTTCTTTTGTCCTTTGCCTTGGGGTTCCTCTAGGAGAAAAGTAGAGGTATTGCAATGGGAAAACCATTACAAATATTGCAAAAAGTCTTGATTTCTCTACTGCGCTTCTTGTAAATAACTTGTTTCTTGTAAATAAATTGTTTCTTGTGTTTCTCCAGCTGGAGGAACAGGGTGGTGCTGCAGATACTTATTTTATTCTAGGGTAGAGAGAGAGACAATGGGCAGTATTGAGGAATGCAAATATTAATGAGTACTCTTTTAGAAGCATCTCTCTTCTTCATTTCAGAGTCTCCTGAAATTGGACCCTCAGTTGTAGTTCATACAACAGTGACATTTGGAATAGAACATCTGGATTCAGACCCTGCAGAGGTGCAGGAACTAATTCTCAGCCACCTGGAGAATCTTGTGCCCTCCCTGCCCAAAGCAGCTAGTGTAAAGTGTCAGAAGTGGAGATACTCACAGGTAACTCATAGTTGATCAAGCAGCTGGGAGGGTATTGTTGTGGAACAGGCACAGGGTGGAACAGGGTGTCCTGAGAAAAAGGACATCATGCAGCCCAGTGGTGTTCATCTTCAGAGCCAGCAGAAGGAAGAGATAACCATTCAGTATCCATAATGCACTCCTCCGTGTAGCCACGAGCAGTGTTCATGGCTGGCTAGATATAGCCAGATCACTTCTAGTCATGTTTTCATGTAGTGGACCTGGCTTAGTGTTAAGTTATGCAACAATCCTCATAAGAAGGAATAGGAGCAGTGCACAGGAAGGAAGTAAATCCCACATGCTTCGCTGAGATTTTTTTGGTATTTAAAAATATGGCTAAGTCTGTCTCTTCCACCTCTGAAAGCATGTGGCTTTATTAGCAAAACTCCTGCCCTACCACAGAATAGTGAGAGTTCTTGTGTTTGGATATACTAATTGTTACTATTTGATTTGGCCTGCTTCAATTTAACAGTATGTTATGCAAAAAGTATTTTAATGTAAACTACCTAAGGGTAGTAAAATGTGTATATTTTACAGACGTCTCTTAAAAATCCAAGGAAATTGTTGGCAATTTCCTCAAGGATTGGTGTATATCTACGTGTTTACCCAAAGCCTCTTAAGTTAAATTACATTGGTGAAACTGAATGTGGAAGTCAATGCAAAATATTTACTTAAGGCAGTCCCCTAAAAATTTCTCCTTTTATGAAGTCTGGAAAAGTTACAGTAGATGATTGCTGTGAAGTCTGCTTGTACCCCTTGATCAGCATCCAGCAACCAGAACCTGGTCTTGTTAGGACAAAGTTTATTTTTCTGTGAATTAGTTATTGTTAGTCTGCAAATCACTTTCCAGTACACAGGGTTTGTTGTCATATGAAAATGACATTAATATATGCATTTATGTGTTAGATGCCTCATATTGTGTGTTTTGTATGTTCCTGTTTATTGGTTCTGGGTTTTTTTTTTGTTAGTTATGGCATGTCTGTACCGTTGCCATTGTTAATTCACCCTTTTCTGATTCTGTCTTCTCTTCTTCTGCATTACCTTTTTCCTTCAAACTGCATGTGAGCACAAGTGCTGCAGGCGTTAGGGAGAAGATTTTGATCAAGTGCTTGGTTGATCAAGTCTGGGGAAGGCTCTCAAAACAAAGTAAGAAGTATTTCTAAACAAAATTGGACGAGGCTATGCTGGTAAAACAGTTGCTACCAGAAATCTGTCACTTCATCCACACTTAGCGTGAAGGGAACCAGCACGCAGCTGAACTACACAATTCTGCCTCTGGGGTTCTTTTTTCTCTTAGCTGCACCGTGTTCAGCCACATTTCCACCAGATTGCAGGAACGACATTTGTTCAGAAGATAATGCTGATGTTCATGACATTGAACTTTTCTCAAACACCAAGCCACTGTCCAACTTACAGCTCTTCCCACTATCTTCTGCCTCTCTTGCCTGCTACCTACTGCGCTGGTACCAACTAAAATCACTGGTTTCAATGGTTGCTTGAGTTTTATGTCTGTGTCACAGGAAGAATTATCACCAATCTTTAATTCAGTAGGTGAATGTAAATAAGTAATTGCGAATAAGTTAGCATAGGTCAGATCTGTTACCTCAGTAAGAGATCTCTATTGCCAGGTGTGCACTCTGTAAAATAATCACTACCTAAATTAAATATCTGGAACAGAGTTCCCCCTTTCTCATAAAGCTGTCTTTTACTTTTAGTTATAATAACCTGTTGTCACTGAAGCAAGGGGAACTGATGAGATGGGTGCATCTTTCCCCTGACTCTTTTAGACAGGATTTATCCTGCTTGTTAATTAAATCCATCTGTAGTGTTCTTCACATGGCCAAACACAATCCTGGGATTAAAATGCAGACATTACAATTATCCATGGCGGATGAGGGATTAGGACTTCCAAACTTCTACTTACACTACTGATCAGCACAGATGCAATTCTGGATCCCCTGCTTTAATTATGATAAGACACTATTAGCATTCAGGGCCACCAACATCCCAAACCATCCCTTGTACAGAGCCACTTTACATGTGCAAGGGATTTTGACAAAACACAGAATCATACAAATTGGACCACAGAAAGGACCTCTTCAGGTCTCTAGTTCAACCTTTTGCTAAAAGCATAACTGTTGTCAACTCTAGATCAGTTCCACCATGGATTTTTCCTGCTGAGTATTGAAATCTTTGCAGAATCACAGAATGGCCTGGATTGAAAAGGACCCCAAAGATCATCTGATTTCAGCCCCCCTGCTATTTGCAGGATTGCCAACCACCAGACCAGGCTGCTCAGAGCCACTTCCAGCCTGGCCTTGAATGCCTCCAGGGATGGGGCATCCATAGCCTCCTTAGGCAACTTGTTCCAGTGCATCACCACCCTCTGTGTGAAAAACTTCCTCCTAATATCCAACCTAAACCTCCCTTGTCTCAGTTTAAAACCATTCCCCCTTGTCCTATGACTATCCACCCTTGTAAACAGTCATTAAGTCTTCCAAGGATGGAGATCCGGCAGGCTGGGCTATGTAGCTGAAAGTAATTTTGGACAATACCTGTTCTAAATGCTTATGTCTGGGATTTTTGTTAGACTTCACTACATACACCTATGCATCTCACTTTTTGTCTCTACATATGTATATGTGTACACACTTACTGCTTTTGTAGTGAGAATTATTTTTGGTAGTGCATTGATTTCTGTGGCAGTTCTGTAACTGTGGACCTTCTTGCCAATGGTGAGCTACATCTGAGTCACTGGAAAAATCTCCTGGACTTGGCAAGTTGCCTTGGGTCTTGATCTTGTTCACTGGAGCTGACACTACCACAATAGAGCTCAGTAACAGTTTACTGCACAGGAACCCAAAACATGTCTTTGGACCAAAAGCAAGGCAGAAAATCAAGGGAATATGGAAAGAAAATTACATTCTCCATATCATGCCTTATGATCTCTGTGGTTGATCTCTGCTCCATCGTTGTGCTGCTCGTTTTCCTCTCTCTTTGTCACTCTTGATATTTTTTCTTCTATTTCAGCATTTCATCCTTGTGGGTCATGTTTCATCATTCCTTTTACCAGAATATCTCTTCCAGTGTTTCTTCTCTCATAACTACATCAAAGAGTGCTGCATTGTCTCTCTCTTTTCTTTTCCCTTCTACCTGGACCTTCTCTGCCTTCATGCTTACCATTGCTATTCCTGCTACCTTATCTCTGTTCTGACATACACCAGTGCTACTCTGGAATGTACTGGCTTGGTACAATGTGGACAATCAGTGTTTTCCTTCTCCTGCCATGCTATCCCACTCTGTGGCTCTCAGAGGAGCCAACAGAGGGGACGTATACAAGGAAAAGAGGAGCAGAGCTGGTCCATGTGAATCTTTTTGTTCCTTTGGGGTTGTGCTGCTCACTTCTGTCCATTAAGTCATTGTGTGGCATCACAGTGATCCTAATTTAAGAGAATACACAGGATAACATAAAAAGCCAATGGCTTTTCCAATCTAGTATTTAGATCTTGTAAGACCTAGCACATGTGCTTGGCCAGATTTCCAGCATAGTGGTGTTGGTGCATTGTTCCCGTGCCTCTTCTCTTTGTGAGTCAGAGGGCAGAGGACTTGGTTTATTTGGATTAAATGTCTTTGCTCTATTAACATTTAAATGCTTTGCCTCAGCTGTATTCTCAGATGATGAAGGAAGCAAATAAAGCCAACAACTATGGAGCACAGTAGTTGAATCCTTCAAAGTTTCTCTATGGATTTCTGTGTGTTCAGGCCATGAGTTTTTTTCACTGAAAAAAATTTCTTTACTGTTTGATTTTTTGTCATGTCCCATTTCAGAGTGTTTACCTTCTGAACTCCTAATTTTTTTACACATTTTTTGAAACAAAAGAAACCATTTTCATGTGAAGGCTTTTGGATTGAACTGCCCATCATGAACTGTCCAGGATCAGGCTTTATTTCTGCTGAAACAGACTCAGAATAAGACAGGACAGGGCAGTAAAATTTCTGTTTTCCATATGCAGAAGAGCTTTATTCTAATTACTTAACTCTTCAAGATAAATATTTTACTATTTGATTGTTAATATTAGAACCTAAAATCTGGGATGCATTTCATTTCACATGAAGCATTTCATATGAAGACATTTTTCTAGGCAATACTGATCTTTCTGTATAATATACTTTATTTTCCATATCCTTGTTTGCTTTTCTTTTTCAGGTTACAAAAGCAGTGCCCAATTGTTCAGGACAAATGATTCTTCATTCTCAACCTCTCCTGATTTGTGGGGGCGATGGATTTACTTGTTCCAACTTTGATGGCTGCATAGAGTCTGCCATGAGTCTTGCAGAGACTGTGAGGTCTCATTTATAACTGTTGCAGTTCACTGCTAAACATAGCCTAGATTTATGATTAATTTTTTTTATGATGGATTGAATTCTAGTTTAGTATAAAAGCCACTGGTTTCTATCTTGCAAAAAATAAAGTAATAAAGGAAGACCTAGCGGTGTACTGTAATAATTACTGAAATGGAATTTAAATGAATTTTCCAGGATCTGTGCTGAGTGGTTACTTTGCTTGATATCTCTAGTCAAAGCCACTGAGTTCTAGCAGCTGTGCTTTCCAAGTTGGATGGCTTACTGTAAGTCTAACCATGTCTCCTGGTGTTGACAAAATGCAAAGGAGGCATTGTAGATCTCTGCCACCCTGCTTTCTTAGCCTGCAGCTTTCTGAAGCCCTGGTTGCAGGCTGATGGAAGAGCTCATTACAAGAGATTGATGCTGCTGCTGGAAATGATGTGCCATCAAAATAGACTGTTGACCATGTTAGAGTGACCAGTGCCTTGTGGCTATGTGCTGGCACAGGCTCCAACACCAGGAACAGCTTTTTCCTCCTCCCAGGCAGTGGAGTAGTCAGGGTAATTAGCAGCCAATGTGGAAGGTGGCTTAGCTGCTTTCTCTGGCAAATGCAGAGAAGGAGGGGAAATAGTTGAAACGTATTCCATGATAGCATGTTAATAAGAAAATTATGCTGACGTTTCCCATTTCCAGTTAAATCACCAGTGCTATAAAAACTGATTTAAAATAAACAGTTTGTTTGAAAGCAGGGTGAGTTCTAGACAGCTCTATACTTTTCTTTGGCAGAACAAGTGTAGAAATGCAGCAGCAGGTCTAGGGAAGTATATAAATACAGATGTGAGTGAATGAACAGGGAATATGATTTGAATTCCTAAAATAAAAGAAAGCAAGTGTAACTGTGTCAAAAATACTACTGGTCACAGTTTCAAGTATTTCTAAGCTACTAAACAATGTTCCTGGGAAATCCATTTTAAAATTGCTTAGTAATTAACCAAAGAAACCCTTTGTACTAAGTTTGAATTTATCTTGCCCTTTCTCCTAAATCAAATGTCACAAGTTTAGCATTTCTATGTACAACAGCAATAAAAACAAAAAAATACTATTTTCCACAGGCAGAATTTTAACCATGCATCCATTAAAGAACTACAGTTCTGCCTTTTCCTTAAATCCCCTTATTTCACAAAAATCCTGCATTCACAGGCTACTGAACATGGTAGTTTAATGCTGCTTTTGACCATTTCTAATGGAGTATTTTAAGTGACCAAGAATTTTAAGACTTAAGTTATTTTTTAAAACACCTTTGAAAGATATTTTACGGCACCAGCTGGATTCATTGATTATTTTCTACTTCTCTGAAGTAATCAAGTTTAACACTCAATGTTATCATGTCTGCTCCATTCAGCTCTGAACCTGTAAGTTTCCATCACAAATGGTGAGCATGTATGTGAGCAGGTCTTCTACAGAGACACTTGAATTCCTGTTTCCCAAGGAGAAAGGTAGCCATTCCACATGGCCCTGGAATAAACTAAGCTGTTGAGGAATTTAGTACTGGTTTGGTCTAGCTCAAAAGCAACAGAAGTCCAAGCTGAAGCAAAGTTTGATATTGCAGCGTTGGAAAACCTAGATGAAAACAAGCGAAACAGAGTAAGTAGCCATGTTTTTCATATTTGCTTTTCAGCTTCCATCCAGGTGTCCTCCAGGAATAGGTTCCTAAAGGAGAAATTCTCTGATGTTGAACCACACACAACAGTATCCCACTGGGTGGTCGGTTCCCTTAGAAGCTGCCACCATGGCAGTGGGGAGCACCATTGCTAGACCCATTTGAGCTTATGGGGTTCTATCCAACCAGTTGTTCTCTATCCAAACTCTGCCTTAGTGCACAGAGAAGGATGTGGGAATGAAGTCAGTTGTGCCCCTGCAAGGGTGAAGGAGCAGCTTGCAGTTTTACCTGTCTGCTTGGATATGCTGTTTCTTTTCATCTTTGTTCTTTCTGTCCCTTGTTTCAGAGCTGTATTTGAATTAAAGCACACTAAAATTTGCACTTCCTTTCCCTCCTTCAATTTTGAATGCTACCAAACCACTGAAAAGCCAAATGGATAACCTTCCTGAAAAGCGTGTGGCATGCAGAAAACAGAAAATAAGACATCTTTGACATAACACTACATTGTCTCTGTAGCTGCCTCATAAACAGGGATGCTCCAGAGAGTAATGATGTCTGACGTTAGAAGCAGACCTAAGTACTGCAAATGGCAGAAAAGCAAAGCTACCTCTGACCCCAGCCATTCAACAATCCTAAAGTTTTGGTCATTGTTAGACGTCAGAAAACCTGGAAATCACAGATTCAGAGATTTTAAGGCCAGAATTCTGATCAAACTTGAATCATGGTGAGTCTCAAATGCTAACTGCTCCCGTCATTCCCAATTTCATGACAGTCTATCAAAATGCTTCTTTCCTATTGATTCCTCAGATTCAGTCAATTTAAACACAATTGACTCTTTTTTTTTTTTTTTTTTTTTTTAAGATGGAGTTTTAAGTGCTCATGGACACATTCCTCTGCAGGAAATCTCCAGCATGGGGCAGCTTGGTCTCCCTGTAGCAATGTCTGGTTTCCTATAGGCAAGCAAGGAGACAGTGTGGCCAGCTTTCCCATGCAAGGTGGGTAGTGAGTGGTGATGTTTTAAAGAGGCCACTGTTTGCATCCGAACAGATACAGGCAGCAGACTTGTCCGGTGGATTTCCTCAGCCTTGCTCAGATGGAGGTAATTTTTGGTTAACTGGCATACCCATCAATTATGAGCCACGTCTCCCTGTTCCCAGACATGGCAATGGCTGTGTATGATCTGGATGTCATGAGCTGCAGCTAATGCCCAAAGACTTTGGCTGAATTAAAGCATTTCCACTCTCAAATGACTACATTATTGTCTTCCTCTTCAAGGAAAGATGGGGCCATAAATGCTCAAAGCATTTTAACTCACAGTTGTGTTGACTTGCACCCAGTGACTATCCCTTGGCTGAGCTCTTCATCCCTTGACTGAACCCATCAGAGCCACAAAGCTCATCTCCAAAACGTGCTATTACAGGCCTGTTTATAGAGCTCCCTTTACTCTCAGCTTTACAACCATCCTGATATTTATTGGATAGAAACATGGCCTGGCACACAAGGTCTAGGTGGTTCCGGCAGTATGCTGAAGATAACTTTCTGACACAGGTGGTGGAGGAGCCAACAAGGAGGGGTGTGAGGGGTGTGCTAATTGACCTTGCTTTTACTAACAAGGAAGGGCTTATCAGGGATGTGAAGATTGAGGAAAGGTTGGGATGCAGTGATGATGAGATGGTGGATTTCAAGATCTTGTGTGGAAGAAGCAATGCAGTAAGTAGAATTGCTTCTATCCTGGACTTCAAGAGAGCCAACTTTGACTTCTTCAAAGACCTATTTGGAGGTATCATATGTACTGGAGTGTTAGAAGGTAAGGAAGCTCATAAGCTGGCTGGCACTTAAACACCACTTCTTCCAAGCTCAAGATTGGTGCATCCCTAAGAGTAAGGGAAAGGCAGCAAGAGGCCTGTGTGGATGAAGAAAGAAGTCATGGATAAACTGAAAGGAAAGAAGAAGGTCTGTGAAATGTGGGAAAAGGGCCTGTCCACCTGGGAAGAATGTAGGAATGTTGCCAGGGCCTGTAGGGATCATAGAATGATAGAATGGCCTGGATTGAAAAGGACCTCAAAGATCATTTAGTTTCAACCCCTCTGCTATGTGCAGGGTTGCCAACCACCAGACCAGGCTGCCTGGAGCCACATCCAGTCTGGCCTTGAATGCCTCCAGAGATGGGGCATCCACAGCCTCCTTGGGCAACCTGTTCCAGTGCATCACCACCCTCTGTGTGAAAAACTTCCTCCTAATATCTAACCTAAACCTCCCCTGTCTCAGTTTAAAACCATTCCCCCTTGTCCTATCATTATCCACTCTCATGTACAGCTGTTTCTCCCTCCTGTGCTCCTTTCAAGCATTGGAAGGCCACAATGAGGTCTCCCCAGAACCTTTTCTCCAAGCTAAACAAGCCTAGTTCCCTCAACTTTTCTTCATAGGAGACATGCTCCAGCCCTCTGATCATCTTAGTGGCCCTTTGGACTCATTCCAAGACCTCTGCATCTTTCTTGTACTGGGGGCTCCAAGCTTAGACGTAGTACTGCAGATGGGGCCTCACAAGAGCTGAAATAGTCGATCCTTGAAATTCATACCTCTCCAGTTTAGAGAGAAGGATGTGGTGAGGGACAATGTCAAAGGCTTTGTAGGAGTCCCAACAGATGACATCCATTGCCCTTCCCCTGTCCACTGATGCAATCACTCCATCATACAAGGCCACCGGATTGGTCAGGCACAATCTGCCCTTGGTGAAGCCATGCTGGCTGTCTTGAATCATCTCTTTATCTCGTATGTGCCTTAACATAGCTTCTAGGAGGATCTACTCCATGATCTTCCTAGGCACAGAAGTGAGGCTCACCAGCCTGTAGTTCCCCAGGTCATCCTTTTGATGACCCTTCTTAAAAATAGAAGTAATGTTTCCCGTTCTCCAGTCACTGGAGACTTCACCAGACAGCCATGATTTTTCAAATATGATGGAGAGCGGCTCAGCGACCACATCAGCCATCTCTCTCAGAACCCTAGGATGGACATCATCCGGCCTCATGGACTTATATACATTCAGTTTCATGAGGAGGTCTCAGACTTGTTCCACTGTTACAGTGGGATGGAATCCTCTCCTCTCACCCACACCTAGGGCTTCAGGGTCCTGGCAGCCATGGGGAGGAGCCTGACCATCAGTGAAGACCAAGGCAAAGCACTTATTGAGCACCTCAGCTTTTTCCATGTCAGAGGAAGCCAGATATCTGTGCTCATTTATCAGAGGGGGAACACTCCTTGGCCTGCCTCCTCCTGCCTATGTACCTGTAGAACCCATTCTTGTTATTTTTCATATCCCTTGCAGTTCAGCTCTATCTGTGCCTTGGCTTTCCTAGTCTTATTTCTACATATGCAGACAACATCCCTATATTCTTCCCAGGCTACACAACCCTGCTTCCATTTCCTGCACTTTTCCCTTTTTTCCTGTTTAAGTTGCAGGTCCTTGCTCAGCCATGCTGGTCTCCTGCCTCCCCTACTCGACTTCTGCTGGGGGATGGAGAGCATCCTCAGAAGGATGTCCTTAAAGAGCTGCCAGCTCTGTTCTTCTCCTATACCCTCAAGGACACTTTCCCAGGAGATCCCATCCAGCAGTTCCTTGAGTAGCCAGAAGTTTGCTCTCCTGAAGCTCAGGGTCCTGACTACTTTTTCTAGGCCTGCATTCCTCCAGATCACAAATTTCATCATGGCATGATCACTGCATCCAATCTGCTTCCAGTCTTAACCTCTCTAGTGCTCTCCTCCACACTGGTGAGCACCAGGTCCTGTAGGACTTCACCTCAGGTTGGTCCATCGAATACCTGGATCAGGAAGTTATGCTCAACGGATCAAGGAATCTCCTGGATTGTCTGCCAGCCGCCATGCCACTATCCCAGCAGACATCCAGGTGTTGAAATCTCCCATCAGGACAAGAGCCTGCGAGAGCAACAATTCCTGCTGCTGAAGCAAGAAGGCCTCGTCAACAGGCTCCCCCTGATCAGGTGGCCTGTAGCAGAGTCAGAGGGTGGTCATCAGTAGCGCAGAGTCTGACTGGAGGCCTGTAACTGGCGGTGTTCCCCAGGAGTCAGCGCTGGGTCCAGTCATGTTCAGAATCTTCATCAGCGACCTGGATGAAAGGATAGAGTCCACCCTCAGCCAGTTTGCTTATGATACAAAGCTAGGAGGAGTGGCTGACATGCTGGAAGATGCTCCAGATAGGCTGGAGAGTTGGGCAGGAAGGAGATTTAACAAGATTTAACATCAGTTAAATCTGATGAGATTTAACAAGGGCAAATGTAGAGTCTTGCACATGGGGAGGAATAACCACATGCATCAGTACAGATCAGGGGCTGACCCACTGGAGATGAGCTCTGTGGAGAAGGACATGGGGGGCCTGATGGACAACAGGTTGGCCATGATCCCTTGTGGCCAAGAAGGCCAGTGGGATCCCGGGGTGCATTAAAAAGACCCTGGCCAGTAGGT